TTTTCTAAATATCACAAGAAGGTAATGATAGTGTGTAGAAATGCTAAAGGCTAGATTATAGTTTCTATAAGTTAAAGATTGATATCTATAATTCAATAAACGGTGAAAATCAAACGACTACACCAGGCTCTGTTTTATATCATGATGGCACCTCAGACAATATCTTTATATAAGATAAGATTATAACTTTTAATGCAACTTACTGAGCTGTGTAACAAATTAAGACATGAGCACATTTCAATGTCAGAATGAAATGGATGTATTATTTCATTTCTAAAACTATTAATGTAATTGGGTATTGTACCATGTATTGTAACAAATGTACATCTCATCCTAAAATGTCTTATATACAATGTATTCTAACAAATGTACGTTCCAATGTCTCTCTTTAACTATTGCTGTAATTCTGACCCATTCCAATGGCTCTCTAAAACTATTACTGTAATTCTGTTATGTTACATTGTATAGTGTACATCCCAATGTCTCACTGAAACTATTACTGTAATTATGTTTCATGCCAATGTCTCCCAAAACTATTACTGTAATTATGTTATGTTATATTGTAAAGTGTACATCCCAAAGTCTCTCTAAAACAATAACTGTAATCCTGTTATGCTATATTGTAAAGTGTACATCCCAATGTCCCTCTAAAACTATTACTGTAATTCTGTTATGTTACATTGTAAAGTGTACATCCCAATGTCTCTCTAAAACTATTACTGTAATTCTGTTATGTTACATTGTAAAGTGTACATCCCAATTTCTTTTTAAAACTATTACTGTAATTCTGTTATGTTACATTGTATAGTGTACATCCCAATGTCTCTCTGAAACTATTACTGAAGTTCTATTATGTTACATTGTAAAGTGTACATCCCAATATCTCTCTAAAACTATTACTGAAGTTCTGTTATGTTACATTGTAAAGTGTACATCCCAATGTCTCTCTGAAACTATTACTGAAGTTCTATTATGTTACATTGTAAAGTGTACATTCCAATATCTCTCTAAAACTATTACTGAAGTTCTATTATGTTACATTGTATAGTGTACATCCCAATGTCTCTCTGAAACTATTACTGAAGTTCTATTATGTTACATTGTAAAGTGTACATCCCAATAACTCTCTAAAACCATTACTGTAATTCTGTTATGTTACATTGTATAGTGTACATCCCAATGTCTCTCTGAAACTATTACTTAAGTTCTGTTATGTTACATTGTAAAGTGTACATTCCAATATCTCTCTAAAACTATTACTGTAATTCTGTTATGTTACATTGTAAAGTGCACACCCCAATATCTCTTTAAAACTATTACTGAAGTTCTATTATGTTACATTGTAAAGTGTACATCCCAATATCTCTCTAAAACTATTACTGAAGTTCTGTTATGTTACATTGTAAAGTGTACATCCCAATGTCTCTCTGAAACTATTACTGAAGTTCTATTATGTTACATTGTAAAGTGTACATCCCAATAACTCTCTAAAACCATTACTGTAATTCTGTTATGTTACATTGTATAGTGTACATCCCAATGTCTCTCTGAAACTATTACTGAAGTTCTGTTATGTTACATTGTAAAGTGTACATTCCAATATCTCTCTAAAACTATTACTGTAATTCTGTTATGTTACATTGTAAAGTGCACATCCCAATATCTCTCTTAAACTACTACTGAAGTTCTGTTATGTTACATTGTAAAGTGTACATCCCAATGTCTCTCTAAAACTATTACTTAATTCTGTTATGTTACATTGTATAGTGAC